CACATTAGATAGACAGAAAATATTTGTAAATATCTTATTTATAATTAATACCCATTTCAAAAAAGAAAAAGTGTGAGTCTTTTTTGAATAACATTTGATAGAAACTATGTAGAGAGGTGCGGCTTTCATCGTTTAAAAGAGGAGATGAAACTGAGTCGAATCGTCGATATCAGTTTTTCTTGAACAAGTTCTCTGAGTCTACCATCAAGTTTGCTAAACACACAAGATTCTCTAACGTAAACGTTTTACGATCTCAATTTTCAGGAGTGAACTAGCATCATTTACTAAAGCTCTATAAAATATGTAATTCCTATGTTATAAGTTTTAGCCAATCATGAGTTATGCACATTTTACTGCATGTTATCGGCAGATTTTTCATCGAAAATTGACCTTTTTTTCTCATTTTTCAACGAGAACATGCACGTTATAAACTTATTAAAAAGCCTAGATTTTTTGAAAAAATTGGTGAGAGACTCTGAGAAAACTTTTCAGAAAAATCTGATATAGACCATTCGATGTAGTTTCATCTCCTCTTTTAAACATTGAAAACCGCTTTCTCTACCTAGTTTCTATGAAAACTTATTCAAAAAATACCCACACTTTTTCTTTTTTGAAATGGATATTAGTCATTTTATTTTTTCATATATTTATGTTGAAATAAATAAAATAAAAAGAGAAAAATACTACCATTTCTATAAAAGTCCGTTGAATAAAGTAATATCCACAAATGCTTTAGATACACGAAGAAAATAAACCGTCATCTTATTCACATTAGTTCTATGAATTTTACTGCTGCAAGTTTAAAAAGATAAAATAAAGAAAGAAAAACACTAATAGCTACACAAAAGTCCGATAAAATAACAAACTATCGGCGTCACATTTGATGAAAAAAATATATTCTCACTCATCTTATTTATAGTCATTTTATGTATTCCATAACTGCATGTTTAAATAGACAAAAGTAGATAACAAACATCTACAGAAAAGTCCGCTGGAGAAACAAATATCCATTAGCATACTAGATATATGAAAACTATGTGCAATCATCTTGTTGACAATTGTTGAATATGTTTTGTCTATTTCTCAATAAATACAATGAAGAACAAGAAAAAAAAGAACTAGTAGCAATTGAAAGATCCTATAAAGAAGTAAATATCCGTTAGTACATTAGATATACGAAGAATATAAGCCATCATCCTTTTTATTAGTCATTCTATGAAATCCCTAGCTATATATTTAAATACAAAGAATAAAAGAAAAAGAAAAAAATATATATAGTTACAGAAGTCTTCTGAGGAAAGTAGCATCCACTAACAGATTAGATATAGTACAGGAGTCGCAGCAGCATTTATTCGAACATCAGGAAACAAGACAGACTTGTTTTTTGAAATCAGAAATTTTGAAATCTATTGTTAAACTACTTTTCTAGATCAAATGTACGTAAGAGTGGATGAAGCAATGATGACTAGTTAACATTAAATTGTAGATTCCTGCAGTAAACGCGAAACTTCTCAATAAAAGATCGACTGTACATTTGAAGACATTTTTGAAACTTAAGAACTATTTAAAAAAATGAAAAAATGAATAGATATACATAGATATATCTTTATATAAAAAAATATTTTCTATCAAGTCTAGCTCGAAGAAAAACTTACATCTCGCAATATTCAACTATTTGTTGACTGGTAAGATCTAAATAATGACTCAATGTTCCCATGTTCCTAAGAACAAAAAGATGAGCATTTATATAATTCAAAAAGTTTTTCTTGATGAATGAAACTGAAATAATCAATATAGTGTCCCAATGTCTCCGCATGCAAAAAAGTACGATACATAAAATTTGTACCTTATACATGCGTCGGAGCGTCTTGGTGAGTGTTGTAGAGGACGTCCTTGTTTAAACAACTTTTTCGCTTCAATGCTGAGATGCATTGTGATGTGAGCTTATAAATAATAGAAAATGACTTCATGATTAGTCGAATCAATATTATCTTTTAATATGCTCTACGTTTAAAAATACTGAAAAACTATAACCTACAGAAAATAACAGATTACTTAATGATCATTCAAATCTATATTATCAATCTATCTCTCCAATTCATTAGGATAAAAGAAAACTAAAATCTGTATTCCAAACAAAGGAAAAAGTTTTCTCTTAATTAGTAAAGTCAAAACATTGATTCACATTTAGCATACTTGTGCACAAAAAAAATGAGTCCCAAAAACAAATTCTCCATTGAATATAATACATTTACAAGATTGAAACTGTTAGATGATAGAAAATCAATCTGTAAATGTATAGCTTTCCAAATAAACTACAAAACACACTCAAATCGGATTATTACTAAAGAATAGGGATTCTATTTTATCTTTTCTTTATGAATTACGTAAATATAAAATATAAAGAATTAATTTCTTTTTATTAAAAAAAGATGAAATAATAAATAAAAAACCTTTTCTATGAGAATACGACCTTTGATTCTTACCGAGTAGTTCAAAAGAAATTGTAATATCTTAGATGGAAATGAAATATAAAGAATACCGTTTTCACGTAGCTTTTTCTATATCGCCTTAATGTTTTTGAATAATATCACATGCTGAAGTGATATTCATAGTAAGAAGGAAAACTGATTAACATATCCTTCTGTAATACAGGTATTTTTCTCTGTCTATCATAGGACTAAAGGATTCTTTATTTTATATTTTTTTACTTTTGACAATAAAGAAGTCATTTATCTTTTTTCTTCAATGAAGACTTTATTTATATTTATATTTATCATTTATTATAAATAAAATTGAAGCAACAATGCTAATGAAAAAAGTTCTCTACATATTGAAAGATAATTTCAGTTACATATAAAGAATATACATACCAGTCTTTACTAAATTCTGATTTCGTCTTCTATATATACACATACACACACGCACATATATATAACGGATTTCCCTATTTTGGCTTAAACTTATTCAAATATATTTTCTATTCATACGTAAGAATAAAATCATTTAAAAAGAAAAAAAATACAGAACAGAAAAGTCTGTTGAAAGGAAGAAATGTCCTCTTGTTTATTATATACACATAAATGCATAAATATAATAGATTTGTCCTTTTGATTTATATTACGGAAACTCTGCTATGCGTATGTGAATGAATCAGTTCACGTGAAAGAAAAAGTCCTTTACAGAGCAAAAAAGTCCGCTGGATAATGGAAATATCCGTTGGTACCTTATTCATGTTTTGCTTTTCCTTAGCTACTGATATATATATATATATGACATTTCATGAGCTATATAAAGTCCCACATATATTCATGGGACTTTTCATAAAGTGGACATTTTTTGGATCTTTGACATTGCTGGTGATAATTTCATATGGAGAGAAGATTCTCGCACCATACACCCATTTGCTTTTGTTTGAGATGAATAATTAATTTTTGTAGATAAACTATGAAACAATAACTAAACTTTGGCAAAGATTAAGAATTTAGAGTGTGGGTATGAATCTTCTCTTCAAGTACACCTACATTCACATCCTAACATTATGAAAGACTAAACTGATTGATAATCATCTGATTCGTTAATAAAAAATTTCAAAAAATATACGACTGGAGAAGTTGGGCATCGATCCCAATACCTCTCGCATGCTAAGCGAGCGCTCTACCATATGAGCTACATCCCCGTATTACGGAGTACATCATCAAGTCATACTTTTAATGATCTAAATGATCTCACACTTCTATTTAATCACAATAACAGCTTTGCCGTATGTTGAATACTTACCAGTACCTGAAAACAGCTCGAGAGATGTACTGTTACCTCGTTTGAAACCATTTTCTGTATTCGTTCTGTTCTTTTTTGTGAAACTCACAAAGATTTTTGAAGAAAATAGTGAGTGTAAGTTTTAAGGCGATGTTTTGACCTCCTTCCCCCTTGCATTCAAGTACCATTACAGACACACACCCCTCCGCCCATTACAGACCTTAGTAACCAAGAATAAATGATGGATATATATCAAGTCTTGTTTGCCATCTAATTCGACGCTTATAATAATAAAAATGCTAAATTAACAAAGCAAAATAATTACGAAAATGAAACATATTGAGCGAATAGCAACAATTAAAATGAAAAATAAGGGTGCTCGTCATGCAAAAAATTAAAACAAATCTTCCTATTAATATAACGAGCCTCAAGGAAACATGTGAGCTCCACATTCTAGCCCTAAATGGGTTGCACTTACAAGCTTTTTCTCCTTGTTTTATGCGAGTAACTCTACAAGAAAACATGATGGGAAGTTCATTCAACTCTTGCTAAATCCAACATTTTATGCTCTTTCATATGATCGAACTACAAGAATATTTTATTAAGAGTTATTGGCACGTTGACCTTCGCCAAAACAGGGTGTGGGTTCCAGTCTAGTCTGGATCTCGGTGTGCGTGTGTAAGGGTTTAGGAGACACCGACAACATCATGCTCATAGATCATGTTTATCAGAAAGCATTCACAAAAATCGCAATAAAACATCATCATTGATTTCAATGAAGAACTGGAGTCCTTCGAGAGTTGCGAAAATTGATGCTGTTGTTTCGTAGACGTAGAGTTAAAAAGAACACACCTCAGAATAGAAGCTTATCCATGTACTATAAACTATTGAAAAACCACCGGTTAATTTCGGTTCATTTTCTCAACAGTTCGTTAACCCTGGTTTTTCACCATTGTTGCTGTAGTAACAGACGTAAAAACCGATCGGTTAAGCACGGTTAATTCACACACCGCGTCATAGTAATCAATCAGTCGACACTCTCAATCATAGAAGCAAATTTTTATTTTAATGAAGACAGCAATTTCAACTTGTTTTATTCTCTGAGATTAATATTTGGTTGAGTGTTTTGTTTTTGTCATTTTAACATTATCAATAATAAAAAAAGTCGGTTTGTTCAAGCACATCAAAATTTAAGAGAGAAAAAAGTGTTAATTTAAACACTGAACAAGAGTTAAAATATTTTATGATAAAAATTTCGATGATTGTTGACGATAAGGCTGTAAAATATTCATAGGAGTATCAAAACTCAAAATGATTCCTTTGTCCAAAACAAGAATCCGATCATATTGTGCTACTGTATTTAATCGATGAGCAATTGTCAAGATAGTTTGATTTTGAAATTTATTTTTAAGTACTTCTTGTATAAGATTATCCGTTTCTTGATCAACATTAGCTGTTGCTTCATCGATCAATAAGATTTTACTTTTCTTGAGAATGGCTCGTGCAATACAAACCAATTGACATTGCCCCATACTCAAATTTTTACCCCATTCAGCAATACACATTAAAAGTCCATCTGAATGACTTTTGACAAATTTTTTAAGTTGGACATCTTCAAGTGCTGTCCAACATTGTTCATCTGTATAATGATCGAATGGATCGAGATTGTATCGAAGAGTTCCACTAAATAATATTGGTTGTTGAGGAATAACACTTATATGAGATCGAAGATGATTAAGTGTAATACGGCTAATATCAATATCATCAATCAGAATATTGCCATAAATGCATGATCGATTAACCAGACGAAGGATACCGTTGACAAGTGAAGATTTCCCCGCACCTATATAATAGATGAAACATTTCTTAAAAGAATCAATCATTTTCGCTATCCATACTAGAGATGGATGACATCAAAAATCCTAACTATTGGTTGACGAAGGAACGGATCCAATTGATAAATCGTTTTTGACTGAAGACAATGCGCATCTTGTAGGTCCGAATGAGCTCTGAATACTCTGAAAAGATTTCGTGCTACTAGCTTATTGTTGCCGGGATATAGCATTTTTACGATATTTTTTTAATCATCAAGTCGTGGTCCCTCTCGGAAACACAAGGAAAAAAGAGTTTTGAATTTTGACTTGAAACTTTGCACTGAGACATGTCACAATAATAATAGTTTATTGTAAAAGTTTTAGATCTTTTGACTGTTCCTATCCTAAGATAGAGCTATAATAACAGCATGTTTTTACATTGCTCATATACATCGACGGATTCTATGTTCTTATTTCAGACTAGGAGCAGCCAAAAAGATCTAAAACTTTCACAATAAACTATTCGCGTTGTGACCTGTCTCAGTTCAAAGTTTCAAGCCAAAAGTCAAAACTCCTTTTCCCTTGGGTTTCCGAGAGGGACCACGACTTGATGATTAAAAATATCGTAAAAATGCTATATCTCGGTAACAATAAACTAGTGGTACGCAATCTTTTCAGAGTATTCAGAGTTCATTCGGACCTACATGATGCACATTCTCCAGAATTGGACAGAAATTATAGAGTGCTCAAACACTGTCAAACACGATTGTAATGGGAGGATTAAGTGCTAAATCTATTTTTCCATTCGACTTAATTTTTCTCTGTTGGAGGCTCACAATGGAAGGGTTTGTATTGATAAGCGAATTGGATGATCCGGTTGTTATCAAAAGATCACTTTCACCGAGAAACTAACGAATTTAAAATATTAGCTGCGTATGGCATGCCTGGACAGNATATAAAATAGAATCCCTATTCTTTAGTAATAATCCGATTTGAGTGTGTTTTGTAGTTTATTTGAAAAACCATACATTTACAGATTGATTTTCTATTATCTAACAGTAATAAGCTTGTACGTGTATTATATTCATTGGAAAATTTGTTTTCAAGAGTTAATTTTATGTATTAAACTGTTTATTGAAAAAACGATATTAAATACAATAGTCTTTTTCTCAATATCTGCAAAAGACAAATGTAATACATTTGAAGACATTTTTGAAATTTAAACACTATTTAAAAAAAATGAAAAAATTAATAGATATACATAGATATATGTTTATATAAAAAATATTTTCTATCAAGTCTAGCTTGAAGAAAAAATTAAATCTTGCAACATTCACCGATTTGTTGACTGGTAAGATCTAAATAATGACTCAACATTCTCATGTTCCTAAGAACCAAAAGATGAACATTTATATAATTCAAAAAGTTTTTCTTCATGAATGAAACCGAAATGATCAATATAGTGTCCCAATGTCTCCGCGTGCAAAAAAGTACGATACATAAAATCTATACCTTGTGCATATGTCGGAGCGTCCTGGTGAGTGCCGTAGAGGACGTCCTTGCTTAAACAATAATTTCGCTTCAATGCTGAGATGTATTGTGATGTGAGCTTATAAATAATAGAAAATTATCTCATGATTAGTCGAATCAATATTATCTTTTCATATGCCCTACGTTTAAAAATACTGAAAAAGTATAGCCTCCAGAAAATAAAAGATTACTTAATGATCATTCTAATCTATATTATCAATCTATCTCTCCAATTCATTGGGATAAAAGAAAACTAAAATCTGTATTCCAAACAAAGGAAAAAGTTATCTCTTAATTAATAAAGTCAAAACATTGATTCAAACTTCGCATACTTGTGCACAAAAAAAAATGAATCCAAAAAACAAATTTTCCAATGAATATAATACACGTACAAGCTTATTACTGTTAGATAATAGAAAATCAATCTGTAAATGTATGGTTTTTCAAATAAACTACAAAACACACTCAAATCGGATTATTACTAAAGAATAGGGATTCTATTTTATATTTACTTTATGAATTATGTAAATATAAAATATAAAGAATTAATTTCTTTTTATAAAAAAAAGATGAAATAATAAATAAAAAACCTTTTCTATGAGAATACGACCTTTGATTATTATCGAGTAGTTCAAAAGAAATTATAATATCTTAAATGGAAATGAAATATAAATAATACGGTTTCCACGTAGCTTTTCATATATCGCCTTAATGTTTTTGAATAATATTACATGCCGAAGTGATATTCGTAGTAAGAAAGAAAACTGATTAACATTTCCTGCTGTAATACAGGTACTTTTCTCTCTGTCTATCATAAGACTAAAGGATTCTTTATTATATATATTTTTTTTACTTTTGACAATAAAGAAGTCATTTATCTTTTTTCTTCAATGAGGACTTTATTTATATTTATCATTTATTATAAATAAAATTTAAGCAACAATGCCAATGAAAAAAATTCTTCTCTACATATTGAAAGATAATTTCAGTTACATATAAAGAACACACATACCAGTCTTTACTAAATTCTGATTTTGTCTTTCATATATACACATGCATACGCACACACGCACATATGTATGACGTATTCCCCCTTTGGATTTAAACTTATTGAAATGTATTTTCTATTCATATGTCAGAATAAAATTATGTAAAAAGAAAAAAATTACAGAACAGAAAAGTCTGCTGAAAGGAAGAGATGTCCTCTTGTTTATTAATTACACATAAATACATAAATATAATAGATTTGTCCTTTTGATTTATGTTACTGCGACTCTGATATGTGTACGTGAATGAATCAGTTCACGTGAAAGAAAAAGTCCTTTACAGAGCAAAAAAGTCCGCTGTAGAAAGGAAATATCCGCTGATAGCTTACTCATGTTTTGCTTTTCCTTTAGCTACTGATACATATATATGACATTTCATGAGATATATAAAGTCCCACATATATTCATGGAACTTCTCATAAAGTGGACGTTTTTTGGATCTTTGACATTGCTGGAAAAAATTGTTCAATTTTGCATATACTTTCACGATCGTTCTACAACTAAAGAATGTTTTCGTAATATAGTTGTTGAACTGCATTAAAAACACATTTAACGTATAAATTATTGCATTGACTTGGCCAAAACCTTCTTTAATCGAATTATTACTTTTGCATGGGACGTAACTTCTAGACATTAATCCCTGTCTGTTTGTTTTGTGCATACAATTAAAGACAAAAGCATGGGTTTAAATTTGAAATCTATAGTTCCTCTAATGCAAATGAATATAACTAGTTATCAAGTACGAATTGAATTAGCAGTCTGTTTCATATGTTAATGTCAAGCTCGATTAGTGCCAGTTAAATTTTCTACGGCTGCGTTTCTACTCTTCGTAAGCGACGAGTAGTGAACAGTGATTTCAATTTTTATTCATGTCTGGTAATGAGAGTGAAATAAAAAATGGCACAATCATGTGAATGCCATATGTCCAGTAAGTAAAAACCTTCGTATAGAAATCATATGAAAATAAGGTCGGTAGTCCCATAGCCTCTGCAATAGGATTAAGTGAAAATGGTGTACTAACGATAAAAAAGATGATGGAAATTGTCAGCAGTGGTATGATCATTGTTCGATATTTCTGTCATTCAATTGATTGGCGTAGTCGTGTCGAGCAAAGATGACTCTTATCAACAGTGTAAGACTAAAGAGAACGATTGGGACCGTTGAAGTAACTAGATGAACCATCACTTCAATACCAAATAAGGTTGGTGTCGGTAAATTCATGTAACAAATAAAACCACAAACGAATAAAGAAAAATCCCATGCGTTCTCAGAAGGATAAAGAAAGTCTACCGCAAAATAGTAAGATACTACATATGCACAGATAATAATTATCGGCAGATAGTGAAAACAAATTTGGCCACATTTTGTATTGTATAAATTCGAGTGAAAAATAAGTAAATGTTATTCAAACGCTGCCCAACTCATAAGAAACAAACCTGAATAGTACGTTATTGAGTTGATGAATGTCAAAATGAAACAGGTCATATTGATTGGTGGATAAACCATGCCCGTATGCAAATAGTCAAGAGTCAGCGATAAGGAAACAGATAATTGAAGGAATTCAACCACAAATATCATAAAAATTATATGAACACTAAGTGGATTTTTTTCCAAATCTTTTGGTGAAGAAAGAAAATAGTACCCAACAATAGCGTATGCAATAAAAGATAATGCTTGACATGTTTGTAAAACTACATAAGTAAGTCATTGTACATACGTTTAGTTGATAGATTTTTCTATGATAGACACAATGTTTGTTGTGTCGAGAACGTTGTTGCTCACATTTGTAGTCATCGTTCAATGGGCAATAAATGAATGTCTTTTTCACTTCGTATTATTTAAGTCCCCCCCCTCCTCAAAAAAAGTCAATTTCGTCAAAAATTCAGAAATTGAGATAAATACATGGCGAGATAGCCCGTCATCTGCTCTTTTATAAACGATAATTTATTTTTCTCGTTACTTCATTTTTCCCAAAAAATTTTCAAGATTTCCGTCAACCCCTATTTGAAAAACCAGCTGTTTTTCGAAAAATCGAAAAATGTTTTTCGTTTTTTCTCAGTTCCCGCTTTCTCAAAAGCGTATCCCAAATTTTTCCTTCCTGGTTCATTCAATGTATTAATATTGTCTTTTTGTTTGAAAGAACATCTCAAGGCGCAGGGCATGACCGTGCCCTTTTTTGAATTAAGCCTTTGTTTGGTTAATATACAGCCTTTTATATGATGTTGCTAGCATTTTTTGATACTTTTTTGAGTCATTGAACTTGTGATCCATTTTTTGCGCTTAAAAAAGGACTGTTCAAAAAAAGCGGCTTCGTCATGCCCTGCGCCTTGAGATGCTCTTTCCCACAAAAAAGAAATATTAATACGTTAACCGAATCAGGACCGAACAATTTGGGATGCCAAATAAGTCATTTTTTATCCTTGTTGGGCTCATATCTCCATGAAACCTGAAGATTTTGGACTGGAAATTTTATGGTAGTCTTCTGTTTCCAAC